ATGTATGGCCCTGCTCTTAATTTTGCTCCCAGAGTCTTTATATGGCCCTAAGAAAAACCAATTTATTTCCCACTTCAACTATCATAGTGTCAGGGGCAGGGAGAATTTTTAAACTATTATTTCTCTTTTTCACACTGATTTCTTTCTTTGAATTTTTGTTTTTTTAACCTATGAGGAGAAACACATTTCCATATACAGTTGAAGTAACTTTCCCTGGAAACATCCAGGATTATTTTATGAAACTGTTGGAGCCATTGAGGGTTTAGGCACAATTATGGTTGGGAAGAGTAAGACACCAAAAGGACCAAGAGACTCAGAGAGGCCAGATGAAGAACATATGAGAGTAACACACGCATCAGGAGAGTGACAGCAGTGAGGCAGTGATGAGGGTAGAAGAGAGCTCACTAGAGGATCCAGTTTCAAAGTCACTTGTGAGTCTTCCCAACTTTTTCAAAAGAGTACATGAGAAGGAGTCTCTCCTTCAAGGAGAAGTTAAGACCAGCCACAGCAGGTCTCCCAGTAGGAGAACTTTGGAAAAGCTTGACAATCCTGTGAAGACCAGAGAAAATGTCCTGGAAATTCCCCAACAGAGCTTCAGCAGGAAACACTCAGGTCTCAACAGCAGCATCAAAGTGGAGTTCCTCAAGGATCAGGATGAAGTCTTTGACATGGGAGAACAAGCATGTCTTTCTGGGGCACTGATGAAAGTAAGTGCTTGTTCACAGAATCAACAAATATTTCTTGAATGCTTTCTAGGTGATGGACATTGTGCTAGAAGGTCAAGAAATAAAGTGAGATGTGGGTCCTCAAAGAGACATAGGTCTCAAAGCATTCATGAATCAGAAATCAGGACATCTCTGTAAACAGCTCACTGGACCTTTCTGAGCCCCCAACCGACATCTGAGTACAAAGTATTCTTTCAGTAGCCTTGGTAAGGTTTTTATTTTCAGTATTTTGTTTGATGGGAGAGAAGTGGAGGTAGGCACACTGCAAAGGGATGCTCCATTAGGATGCTCAATGATCCTTGATTCCGTAGGTATAGTAGAATCTGCATGTCAGTGATCTGACTCAAATCTTCACCTGAGTTCCATGTTGGGCTCCTGGGGATGTGGCAATATAGGAATCTCACCTTTCTCTCTAAAGCTCCTATAATCCAACAGCAACTGGAGACATAAAATTTTTAGGACACATGGAAGAATCAGAGTAACAGAGAACCTTAAAGGTATTCTTTTTTACATAGAAAGACTAACGCTTAAGTCTTTGCTAAAATAAATTATTGCATGCCTAGACGGGGACAAAAGACAAGGCACAGAGCCATTAATGGGGACTGTGCCCATACAAGACAGGGGCCACTGATGGTGTTTGGGCCCTTGGAGTAGGATGCTAGCATTTACACAGAATTTGGTAAGAGGCCAATAAAACATTTGTGCCCATCCAAATAGAATTTCCTTGAGACAGAGAGAGGAGGGCTCTTCCTTCTGAAAAGACCAAGGACCATACAGGTGTTAGCAAAACATGTACACTCCGAAACAGGTGTGCAGAAGGAGGGCAGGTATCTTTACAAAGCTTGTGCACTTTCTTCTTGAACTCTTGGGAGTGGTAAGTTCATGAGGAGAACTAGAAGACATATTGCCAGTAACAAGAGACAATTACTTCCCATGATCAATGGCAGCACAGAGGTGTGTCTTAGGAGGCCTCATCTTCCTCTTCATCTTGGATATGGAAAAGTGGCATTTTATCCATCTGATGTAAAGTGCTAGGCAGATAATTTCATGGACAAGGCCCCTCCATTCTGCTTCTGATCAGATGATCACTCCTGTGTCTGTGTACCAAAATGCATGAGCCATTACTAAAATGGTGGTTAACATTCCTGTTCTCCTTCTCCATGTAAAAAGGGGTCAAGCCTGGGATACACATTCTAAAGAGGTTTGTAGAAGTTTATTGCAGGCAGCACCATATGAGTTATGATGGAAGAAACTAGGAGTTTTCAGATATGTACAAAACAAACACATCAGTCTCAAGGGAGAAAATGCAGTGAAGCCATCAGGGTTGCCAATGTGCTTAGCCTCCATCAGCTATCCATTCAGGGATTTTATGGGTATGTGTGTGAGAACTGTCCAAATTGAAACATGGTCTACCCACACAAAGTAGAACAAAAGATGACAAGAGCTCTGACATCTGACAAGATGTGGCATATCTTTTTTTTTTTCACCAAGGAACCCCAAGACTGTCCCAACTTATTTAAAATAAGTACCCTTTTGGAAATATTTAGGGAGGAATGATGAAGGTCTTACTGCTAAGGGTCTCCAGCTTCGGTTCAGATCTGGCAGCAGTCCACTGACACCTCTGATCTCCAAATAATCAGTCACTGGGAAAACGGCACCCTGGTGAGTTCTGAGGTGATTAGTTACTGCTTGGCATGTCTCATCAGTTTGAATCTGCGATAGCTAATCTGGACCAGGGATCTGGAAAAGGCTGTTCATCTAAATTACTCTCATCCACAGGTAGATTCAGATTATCCTTCTCCTCACTCCTTGATCCATCTTCTGTTTCCATAGCAGCCAAAACAGTAAAATGGAAGCATCTGGCACAGGCTCAGGTAAAGTCCCCTGAGGCAATGAGTCTGCTTAATGGCCACAAAAGGGGTAAAAAGACTCTAAGGTATGCCAGTGTGAACTTCAGCAGGATAAAAGAAAGAGGGGGCTCCAATGCCAGAAGAGAGACAGAAGTAATTGTCAGGAAAAGAGAGAGAGGGAAAAAAAATGGAGGGAGAATTGAAATTAATGCACAGATGTTTAGTAGACTGAGAAAGAAAGAGAAAGTAAACAATAAAAAGAGAAAGCATGAAAGGGCAAGACAGAAGGAGAAGATGTACAGAGGAGAAATATCAGGAGGAGTACTTACAAAAGGACAAAGAGCTGAAAAGCTGGGAGAGGAAATCAGAGAAGATACCAGACAGGAGACAGAGGGAGCCCTGCAAGAAGGAGGGGTCCAGTGCCTCTCTACATAGGTAAAGTGAGTCTACCCAGGATGATGAATGTTCCACAGATTTTAAAAGCACAGAGCGCCCTGGCGTCCAATAGCACTGGGGACAAGCATTAAGCAGTGATGAATGGCGTGCACTGTGAACTTGGAAAGTCTGTCCATTTCGATAGACCCTGCCTCAGAGGTGCCCTAGAGCCACGTTCTCTCACTGATGATCTCATGCACAGTAGAAGTCTCCTCCCAGCTTTTGGGCCAGTCCATTTGTAAGGCCATTCCAAATCCAGAGAACTGCAGACATGTGAGTACTCTCTCAGATCCATTTGCTCACAGTGGTAGAGTCAGAAATGGTTGCATGGGGTTGCTCCCAGCAATTCAGGCCTAACACACTGAAAATTTCATGACTTCTCTGAGAATCTCCAGCAGGGCAAGTCTGTCTCTTTCTGTGAGAGGAAGTCGATATGAGGGCCCACTCATAGTCCTACACTGATTTCATTTAAATGTCCAAATGTTCTGCCATCTTCAGGAAGAGAGGATGTCTGCCCCCAGGGACAGATGTGTTGCTGGTGGGCAGCTCTCTGGTGCAGCCCCTTATGCAACTATCTAGTGTAAAGAGAGACGCCTATTCCAAGGTCACAACTCTTCAGGGGATAGCCCAAATTCCAAGGCTGTTCTGCTGGTATAAAAGGTCACCTCCATCTCAACAAAGCATTGCTAAAGGGTAACACTGGTCTCAGAATTCTCCACAGGGTCAGCTGAGATGTTCCACTGGTCTTCAGGCAACTCAGCTTCTCCCTCAGCCCAGCCCTGCTTCCTTCCCTACCCCTTCATAGAAGTTGATCCCAAGAGAGCCTCAAATAAACTTCTTGCATGCCAATCACATTGTCAGGGTCTACTTTCGGGGGTCCCAACCTGCAACACCAAGGAGATATCCACTATGATGATTCCTTTAGAATCCTTGAACCTGTAGTACTCAGCCATACACATAACTTCATGCATACATGCATGCATAGACACACACACATACACACTTATTTAAACATAGCTCACATTAGCCAGCAATAAGCACTGAAATGAAGCATCTTTATTCACATATCTGCTCAAATGTCACCTTTTCAAAAGCCTTCTCCAACCGAACCTCTGGTTCTTCTGTCAATGTATACTGCTCTATTTTCTTATTCTTATCACCACTTGTTACATTGTAGATTCATTTTTTTTGTCACTTGTCTCCTGAGAATGGAAGCTCATGAGAACAAAAACTGATATGTTTTGCTTTATTGCTATATCCCCAGTGCTCAGCAGAGTGTCTGGGCTATTATAAGCACTCAGTACATATTTAAAAACAAATGAAATAATTTAATGCATCTTGCATAAAAGCTACCTTAATGATAAATGGCATCTCCCCTTAAATTCTAAAGGTTTAATGTTTAATCCATGAAAGCACAAAACAGCACTTAGTCTGGTCTACAAAACATCTAGACATTTAGACAAGGTAAATTTTGCAATTTAGTCACACCTTGAGCTATATTTGTTACCTAAGATTAATCTGAGTAACAACAACAACAAAACCACAAAACAGCTCATGGACTAGGGACCAGATATTTGTCAATGCTGAGGAGTCAGACTTGGACATTTTCCTTTTAGGACTATGCCCATTCAAAGTTTTTTTAAATCCTTATGTGTTGTGTTTTTAGTATCTTAGAACAACCATTTGGACAATGCCACCAATGATGATTGTTCCGTCATCAAACAAGACCAATAAAGTTCACCCAGAACAGGTTACCACTATTGCACCCAGAAAGAATTGGAATTAATCTCCCCAGCATTCAAGAAATGCTCAGATTTGATTTCTGAAATCTTACAGGACATATTCCTGTCTTGTAGAGATCACCAAAATTCCCTTCAGAGCCATGAGTATACTATTATCAGGATACCAAAAATGTAGGGCCATTTGGATAAAGCCACCAGTGCCATGACCTCCTAGCCATGGCCAACAATTCTTCCATTTCTTCTCTTACCTTTTGGGGAGATGTGTCTCCAGGTAACCGTAGGCTCTGGTCTACCCGTTGCTATGCAGGTGAGGCTGATATTATTCCCTTCATTAATGGAGATATCTGAAGAAATCTCTACAATTTTGGGAGATACTGTAGAGACAAAAAAGATAAGAGGGAAATAAAAATCTTGCTGAAACATTTCTTTGTTGTCTTATAATGATAGTTGGCAGCACAGCCCAGGGGCTGAAATATTGGGACTATAGGAGTAAATGATTAAAAATTAGAGGAATTACCTTAAACATGAAAGAATTATCTTACCTTGAATTTAGTTTTTATTTCTTCCCATTTAAACACAGAGTCAGGGAGTCTGAATGGGAATGGATTCCACTGCAATACTGCAATAACTGTTCTCCTAGCCTCCACCCGCTTCCTTCTCCACTCTCACCCCCACCCACCTCCGACACACATTCACCAGTCATTCTCCACACCGCATTCAGAGTACTCTTTATATAATGCAGTTCTGATTGTACCACATCTCTGCCTAAACACCTCCAGTTGCTCCGTATTGCCTACCTGAAAATACACAATCTTCTTTATGCCAGCATACTAGGCAGTTCAGAATCAAGCATCAATCTATGCTACCTATGATCTCACCTTTCCTTACCCTCCTTGTTATCCCCAACACTCTATGTCCTTCTTGGCCATCACGCGTTTGGGATCTATATTGTCTCTTATGTCTTCCTGGAAATTTTCTGGTCATTATTTTTTAAAGTTTATTTATTTTGAGGGAGAGAGAGAGAGAGCAGGGGAGGGGCAGAGAGAAAGGGAGAGAGAAAATCCCAAACAGGCTCCTCGCTGTCAGCACAGAGTCCAATGCGGGGCTCAAACTTACTGTGATAGCATGACCCGAACTGAAACTGACTGAGCCGCCCAGGTCCCCCTCTAGTCATCCTTTAAAGTCCAAATCAAATGCCAGTTGATGCAGCTTTCCCTACCCCTACTCGTGTCTGTCCTCCTTCAGATACTTAAGTTAAAGCTTTTCTTATCTGTGTTCCCAGAGCACATTACTCATACCTAATGGGGAATCAGAGGGAACAGCAATTAGGCATAACACATTTGGTCTCTTTGTCTCTCTCTATCCTAAATTAATCCCCCAAGGAGGCGAAGGGTTTATTCTAATTGGTAAAATTGTGAGTAGGATCCCACACTTCTTTCAGTCTTTTGTTTTGGAACCAGGCTTCCCTTAGGAAGCTGTTTTCTAGTGGCGTCTTCCTCAGACATGTGACACAGGGGCAGCATCCCATGGGGTCTTGTACACCCTACAGCACAGCCTCCACTTGCCTATATGTATCTGTCTCATTCTTGTGTTCTAAATTAGAAGCCCATTGTTGCTATACATCTAAGCCTAATTCTCTAGTACCATCTTTCCCACTGGTGAATGTGGCATTTAGCTCAAGTATGACATTTGTTTCTCTTATTTTCTAATTGATTTATAAAGTAAGGGTGACATTCATGAGCTTCCAGACTCCAGTTCTTGACACCTATCTATGTTATGGTTATTTGCTTAGCATCTCTCATCCAATAACCAAGAACTTTTTCACAGCCTGAGCCATGACTGAATCATATTTATAACCAGGGAAAAAGCACAACAAATATTTATAGGATGGAATTATAATGATATTCAAGGGAACCACCTTTCCAACCTGCTACATGTTTCTAACAATATCAGGACTGGATTACAAACACGTATCAGTTCAGTCTCACAGGCACTAGTTTTAACACATTAGTTCATCATAAATTAAGTGACCCTTCCATTCAGCTCCCTTAGGGCTCTTCAAATTAGGTTCTTCCCTTGAACAAGCCACCCTCTGAGCCATCAGAGTGTGCAATTCCAGCACACATCATCTACCCAATACACAATGCCATCTGGCTTGCTGGAGATCCCAGGAAACTTAAATGTCAAGTTATTTCCTGTCCCAAGGCCAGATGATGAACCCCCTCATTTGAAAATCAGATTGATTGCAAATTTCCATGCTGGACTTTCTTCTTCTGCTTGAACCATTAGTCACTCACTTCTAATTGTGTTAGACTTTCTTCTCCATGAAAACGGGATCATCCAGGTATCTTCTAGCCTCCTTCCTTCCTTCCTTCCTTCCTTCCTTCCTTCCTTCTTGCATAGTGTCTTCCACTCCCTTCCCACACTCCACCTTACTGGGAACACTCATTAATAAGCATGTGTTGCACATTTATTTCCTAATCCCCACACCTTTGCTGCTGATTTTGGTCACTTAGACTCTCTTCTCCAACTATGTATACCTATTGGAATTATCCAAGGCCCAGGTGAGGGCTTTCTATAACGTTGTTCAGATATCTCCACAAAGATGTCACCTCTCTTTCCTGGCAATCCCATAGCCTCTTCCAAGTCATTTAAAATAAACTTGCTTATGTTACACTTGTCTCATCTTTCCAGCATGCTATACATTCTGAGTATAAGATCTAAAGACTTAGTCTACTTTTTTATTTTCTGCTGTCTTGAGTGGGGTGTCATACAAAAAGTAAACATCAATTAATCACTTTTAGATATAAATCCATATTGAGCTTTAGACAGAGAGACAGCATGTGTGTGTGTGTGTGTGTGTGTGTGTGTGTGTGTATGCATTTGCACATACACCTGCACTCTCACAACTATTTGATAGGACAGATACAACTATTTGGTAGAAGAATCAATGTGGTGAGGGCTGGGGAGTGCCCATTGGCTCTATGATCCAGGACTTCTAAGACGTGACATTGCAATTTATGGCTGTACCATTTTAAAAGCTAGATTGAATCTTCTTGGACAGAAAGACAGTTGATGGGTTAATGACTGGACACTTGATTTGCTGACTGTCTGAAGGATCCAAGTTTCTAAGTGCTCTCAGTCTTAAAATCATTTAAACTTGATGTATTTTATTCACTGCTTTAACTGTAACAGTCACTGCTTGCACCACCACTCCCCCAACCCATACATTTGCCTGGCCCTTGCTCCTACCCAGCGCTGGCACCCACAAAGCTTTGCTTGCTTCCTGGAGGACAGGCAGCTTGCATAATGACTGTGTTGGCCTTGCAGACACTGCTTCAACTGTGCAGGTAAGTAATTTATTGATCTGTAAAGCACTCCGAGATGCTTTGCAAGGGATTATGTCACGCCAACGCCATGCAATAAAATAAAAAATGATGGACTTTGTGAACACAGGGTGATTTAGGGTTTGTAGTTGGAAGTGTGCTTAAAGTACATTTTAAGTGGAAATCAGACTGGGTAATGAATTACCCTTGCTTTGGAAGGGTTTACTGGGAGTTCATTTTCCTGGCTTCTTACATGATAGCTAATCTGCTAATCATACACTAGAGAACAATTGACAGCCCCCAAGTAGAATAGAAGGTGTTTTGGGCCAGAGCTGTCAGCACAGTAAGTATATTAAATGAGACAATCACACCTTATGCTTGGAAGAATCATCTAGAATTGTCTCCCTCCACTAACAGTTGGAAAGTATCCAACTTATGAAGTAGAAGTTGGAGAAATGCTTGCTGTCCTTTCAATTCTGCCCAGGAGAACAGTTCAGAGGTGGCACATGGCCCCAGATGAGTTTGAAAGGCAGACCTTTCATGGCATAGAGCTGTGGTCGTTTGACAAGAGGTGCAATCCCAATTATCAGAACTAAATTGGCATAGTACCTAAGGTACTAGGGGATTGAAAGTATCATTTTCCAGGAGGAAACTGCTAGCACACTATCAGTATTTAAAATTAAATTGAATTGATAAGGATGCACTGTGGTCTTAGCTAATTCATGTTCATAAAAAAGTTCTGGCCAACTAAGATAGGATTATTTATATATTTATATTGTTTCCATGGATACATTCTGCATCTTACCTCTTCTCATTATGCAGGCTGTTAGAAACATACTAGGATTACTTTGTCCTTCCTTCCTTCATCAATATTCACTGATCACTTCCATACACTGGCATTATGCTTAGCACTAAGAATTTAACACTAAACAAGACACAGCCCTTGTCCTCAAGGAGTTACAGTCTAGAGATATAAAAATTGGTCCAGAAGTATATACCTTTAATGTATTGTGACACAGAAGAATAGAAATGGTATTAAGGGAATACAAAGGATAGACACTTAAGCCAGTCTGGAGATGGATGTCATGTCAGACCTTGTGGATGTGTGACATTTAACTAAGCCCAAGATAAGTAAAAGTGAATCTGAAGAGAAGAAGAGGGAAGGCATTGTAGGAAAAGGAGACATAGGAAGAATACTATTATTAAGAGTTTTTGTGGCAAGGCATAATTATTAATGGAAGAAGAGCTGCTGACAGAGGCTGGGCCAAAAGTCTTTCAGCGAACATTTGGTGAACAACTCCTATATACACAACTGTGTTGTTGGTATATGAAAGACATGCAGAAATATATAAATTCTGTTGGCTCTCCACTAGCTTACAATCTGTTTGAGGAGACAGTCACTATGAACATCCTAGAGAGTTGAAAAATAAAGCAACATTTGTCACAAAATTGTCTGGGGTTGAATATCAAGTGAATGGTACAAATATTCAGTTCTGTAAATTGGGAAAAGGGAGGACACTGCAAGTAGGAGTGTTAGAGTGACTTTGCCTTGGCTAGCGAGTCTATTTTGGATACCAACAAATGAAAAACAGTCACAAAGGCTGAGAAAGTAAAGCCACTTCAAGTGGAACAGGAACACCTGGGGATCAATGGGAAGCAGAAATTCATGAAATGTATGAAGACACAGTTTATTTACTACAAAATACAAAAGAGAGTAGTGGTTGAGATCCTGACTTGAATATGTTCAAACTGGGTAACCTTAGCCAAATGAATTCACCTCTCTGTGTCTCACTTCCTCATCTATGGAGCAAAGCTAACAATACCATGTACCTCTTGGGTTTTTTTGAGGATTTAAGGAGTAAGTTTACAAAGTGGACTTAAAGGAGGTCCTAGCAATTTGAAGTGCTCAATAAGTGAGTTTTAATATTATATGCACTTGGCAAACACATTATGTAGTGTCAATACAGAATGGGTGGTTGATAGACTTTAACTGATTAAAGGAAGAAGAGGATATAAGATCAATGAAGAAAGCTAAAGCCAAATTATGG